ATAGGTTTTCACGTTAAATATCGAGTGCACTGCATATATGATGCTTCGGCAACTCACGAATCGCCAAAACAAGTGAAATGCTGAATCCACGAGTATGCCGACAAGTCCGCTGCTTCATTGAGTACATTGTCGCATTCGAATAATACAAAATCTGGTTAAATGTAAAATTTGATGGCATTTAAACATTTGTTCGACAAGAGTTTCCTGTCACATTCTCTATTTTCTGCGTTTCGATCCACGACCATTACAATTAAATACATGGAAAATGCCAATAATAAAAACAATGTACCAATTGAGCAATTAAGTAAAAATACAATTTTATTGAATGCGTAAAGTATGTGAATACTTAACATACTACATTATGTTTTGCATTTTTAATCTCAAAAAGTTCTTCAATATTCTTTTTTTCTTTTCGTTTTTGTTTATTGTTTTTGAGTTCAAGTAGAAAAAAATCTCGTAAGCTTCACATATAATTTAAATAACAACAATAAAATCAAACAACAATCATTGGTAATATAGTTTAGTTTACATTTGGATTAGTCCTGAAAATATTGAAATTCGTAAAGATTTTGTGTTCGTTTGTACGTTTAACGTTGGAATTACATTGACTGATTCAATTTAATTTGCTGTAGGAACTGGAGTTGAAAGTAGAAATTGAAATTGTAGGTGATGTAATGTGTGTGTGGATTATTCGTAGAATTGGTTTTGGTGAGCTGCCACGATGTATTGCTTGCGGATGGCCAAAAATCATCTGCAATTTGAAAATTCAATAAAACGTTTCAGTAAATTGTCAATATAAGTTATATATGCGTATATATTTTGAATTACCTCATCAACCACGAATCTTTTTCGCAAAATTTGGGAATTCGGATGGTATTTTCCGTTTGCGGGTGCTTTTTCTAACCGGAGAAATAATCACGTCTGGTTTCTTTTGTGGTGAAGAAGATGCAGCCATAAATTGTAGTTTATCTTCAACCTCGTACACGGTGAACAGTTCTGTGGTCGAATCGGTGGTGCTGTGAGCATCGCTTTCACTCGTCTTCAGAATCTTTATCTCGATGTTTGGGCTTCGTTTCACATTAAGCGATACATTTGCATTCATCGTATGTGTAATGTCCAAAGACTTTTTTCGGCGATATTGATCCCATTGTGAACCGCTTTCGACTGTTGTGTCTGCTTCTTCGGTGATGATTGACGGTGATTTTATATCTGGCTCTGCAACAGAGACGTGTGGCTCGTAGGCGGGCGACTCAATCTCATCGTTATCTTCTAAATATTCAATATAAACGGCATCCGATTCGTCGAGATCGTCACTACTAAGCCCAGTGTCAATAATATATTCAGTGGACTGTGTCACTTCATCTTTGATGCTATCCTCCAAATCAATTTGAGATGTCGACGACAACGGTTCAATGTTAAGCAACTGAATTTGCGGTTTACTGGTGTACGTTGGCGTTTGAAACTTCTTATTGTCCAATATGACTCGCGGTTGAATCAAATTGGCTCGGCTGTACGTTTTCAATGGTGCTCGATTGATATGAAACGAATTGACCGGTGATCTGTCTCGACTTCGATTGAACAATGGTTCTAGATCCGGTAGAACTGGCTCAATTGATAGCAATGCGAATCGTTTGCTTCGCCTTGGATTCGCATTCAGAATGTTACGGCCATCAAATCGTTTCGATGCATAATACATTTCGTTTAGTCTCAAAATATCAGCTTTCAATGAAAATTCGGCTGAGCCTAGCAAGTCCTTCGTAAGACTATTGTACACTTTCTTCTTTGGGCGGCCTCTTTTCCGTCGAATCGTTTGTCCTTTGAAGCATAGTTTAGACACTACGTCGGAGCAAATATTGTACAGTTTGGAATATTCTTCATTGCTTTTGATTGTCTGATCGAAGAGGTTTGCTGATGATTTGGTTCCACATACGAAACATGATTTGCTTCTGGTCAAAGTGGTGGTGGTCGAAATTTTAGATGTAGCCGTTTCGTCGGCGGTCTTCTGGCCTAAAAAATCCGTTTGCACTTTATCAACTTTCGATAGATCCGGCAACGATGGACATTTTTTCACGACTGGGGCACGAGTTCTGTGGAATAGTGTGCGGTTTTGGTATGGCGCTCGTGAGGAATTCGCATTAAAACGTGAATAGACTTTGGTCACCGGCATCGAAATCGGTCTCACCGATTTGGCAATTGAACTCGAATGCATCTTATTTGAATAGTATCGATCAGCTATCGTTTTGGCAATGCTTCGATCCATCGAGTTTTTTGAAAGTGGTGAAATTTCCAGCACTCGATATGTATTCACATTGGTTTTTCTGTTTGTTGTCGTTGGGGTGTCAAATTGTCGTGGCTTTGAAGTGGGATCATGCATTTTGGTGCGAAAATTTAAAATGACCGGTTCGTTTTGGTTGGGTTTATTCGTTTCTACCGCACCAAATATCTTGGGTTTTATTGTCGTTGATTTAATACGTTCGGAGGTGTTAGCGCTGTCGGTAATTTTATTGGCAACACTCAAACTTTTCATCCGAAAATCATTGGCATCGAACAACACTCGACTCGGTTTACGATCCTCGTTTGCATTGAAAATGTGCAGTGACTTTTGCCGCTGCATTTCGACCATTCGCTTCGTTTGTTCGATTTCTTCTTGCTTTTGAATTGCCTTCACAATATTTACACCATGCGAACTTTTTGGTGGTTGTCTTACCACCATGCTTTTCTCTGGAGTGCGATTCTTTTCCGTAATTTTGGTCACAACAAAATTTGGAACGATAAATGGTGGCCGAATCGGTTGTTTGTTGAGATTCAAGTTTCTGTTTCGTGGTTCAATCGATGGTTTCTTCTGCACTGTTATTGTTGCCGAAGCCTTTGATCGCTTGTTATACACGTCAACCAATTGAGCGGCAGCTGTCAACAGTTTTTCGTCCGAAAAGTCATAGGATAGATTCCGTTCGGCAATTTTTTGGTGATCTTTCGATGTTATCTGCACCGCAGTACTTTGAGTACTCTTGCTGCTTGGACCAGCAGATTTTTCCTGTTTTATTTCCTTCTCATTCAAGAATACATCATACGGAGTAAGAAATGGAAGTTCTTCATCTGCAAATACAAATGGTACAAGACAAAATAGGAGAAAAAGTCGAAAAAAATAGATTAATACCAAATTCAATTTGGAACATATCACAGTTTCACACGAAATTATTACGAATAAATACTCTATGAGCAAATCACATTAAATCTAAGATTAAATACTGTAGAAAATTTAATTTCTAAAACTAAACGTAAGAAGAAAAAAAATCATCAAATCTTCACACTTTCAATGAGTATCACAAGTAATTGTTGAGTCAGGAATTAAATATGAGGCAATTTGTGGCTTTGAAAGAGTCGGAACAGCTAAGGGAATTTGAAACGAAACAATTGGGAGAAGAGTTCGAATTGCAAAATTCAATTTCATTTGCAAAACGTGGAATTTTCCCGAAAGTTCTCTCTGAGAAAAATGGTGAATTACACAATTCTGTTCCGAATTGAGAAAAATTGAAAAAAAAAACTAGAAATATACTCAAGGGAAAAATGACACTCTTTGAGTTAATTTGTCCATCATTTGAAATGCTGTTCAAAGAAAAAAAAATTAAATCAAAATAACCAGAAAAAGCCGTGGTAACTCAACCTTCTGGCGTCCGAATGGAACAAAACCACAAATGAGATACGAAAATGATACCTTCTGTTGAAGAAAAATTGAAATTGAAATGTTGCAACGAACAAAATCGTTCAGTTGTCAAATTGGTGCATGAATGTGTTTAAATCACGTATTAATTTTTTTTTTCAAACAAAACCAAACAACTACCAAAAAAAGCCCTATATTAAAAGGAAGTTTCTTTTTCCATCCAAGTAATAAAAAAAAACGGAACACGACTAATTTGCGTTGTCTGAATGTATGAGCAAGGAAAACAAATTGGCTGGTCAAACCAAAATTGAATCGTTAAGTCAGAGTATTTGTGAAAGGATAACAACTTGTTCGTGCAATGCTTTTTGTAAAAAGTGTGCAACAGAATACAGTTTTTCAGTTGTTCTTGTTTGTTTGTGTGTGTATGTGTTGATTGAAGACAAAGTGAATGCATATCGCAAAATGTGGACATTTTGTGAATGATGTTCCTTTTCCGTTGATCCGCGATCATTGATGTTAAGTTGATTGGAGACTGATTTGATTGGTGATTTGTGTTGATCGATGAATAGGAGATTGAATGTTGTTTGTACTTTAGTTGATTGGAGATTTCATTTTGATTTGTTTTCTTTTTCTTTTTCTCTTCGTTGTGTGTTCATTTTGAAATTAATTTTTCTATTAATTTCGTGTCGCTATATGTGAGCGATTGTTGTGGGCTCAACAAGTGCAAAGACGTGCTTACGTCTTTTTTCAAACCATGAAAAAAATGTGTGTGTGTGTGTGTCGCTTAACCATACATAATATAAAAATAAATCCTTTACGTATGTAACCCGACTAAAATTTAAATAAATTAATAAATACTTATTGATCGAAACTATGCAACGCTCACTAATTAATGATTAAATTAGGAGTTTTTTTGAAAAATATGAAATATCAAGTCCGATCTATATATAAAAAACGACCGATAAAAAATGAGTAATCAACAGTCCATGAATTTCCCAAACGAATGTCGAGATAGCAGAGTAGAGAGTGTACAGGCATGCGGTTAATTATTGTTCATTCCATTCGATTCTTTTTTTTTCTCTTCATTTCCAACAACTCTGTTCTGTAATATCAAAAATTTACATTTTGCATCATCGTTTCGGCACCGGCCGATTTGATGCACTTCTTATGCCATCGCTCTACTATACAATTCTTGTTTGCTCTTTTTTTTCTTTGTATTTTCTCTTTTCATTTGGAATCAGTCTCTTCATTTTTGTTCATCAGTTCTGAATGTCGCGATCGATTCGTCATTCATGAGTTGAGTGATGGAATCAGATTCCATTGTTTATTGCAAAACGATGTCCATCATCTATCTTAAAGTTTTCGTGAAATTTCTCAATCTATTTTTCATCGATTCTCTTCTTTTCATTTGGAGCTTCGGCTATCTATGCCGATTTGTTTTGCGTCGCGGTGATTTTTGTTCGCTAGACACATTTTGTGCTCGCGTCGTTCGAATTGAACTGCGAGTTACCCGATTTGATTTCGTTGCCATTAGTTTGTCATTTGATGAGATTGCAGCCACTGTTACGTTTTCAACGACCATTTTTCGGGCGGCTTTTGTTCTTGGAGCCATCGGTTTATTTATCGACGGTGACTTTGTATCAACAGGCGTTTGCATAATATTTTGATGGGTTTGTGATTGATGTTGATGTAGGTGCTGTTGTTGTTGTTGCTGATGCTGATGCTGATGGTGTTGGTGGTGGTTCTGTGGTGCACCCTCTTGACCGCCACCTTCATTAATACTGTTCACATAATCGTTCAACAGAATTGATTTCTTCTCTTGGAAATTGATTCGGCTATTTTGCAGCAAATTGTGATAGTGTTGTGGATTCATTTGATAGTTGTGGAGATTAAACATATTTTGTATGTCAAAGTTCTGTGGAAGACTGTTCGGATTTGTGTGTGTGGGCTGGATGCTGTACGTTGCTGCGTATGGTGAATTTGGATGGAAGGGTTGATGATGATACTGAGTGACATTAAAGCCGTTCGTCCCATTGTCGCCGGCAATTGGTCCAAGATATTGTTCACCATCTGGCGCAACAATTCCACAATTCATATTGGTATTGGTGACGACATTCGGTGGAGCGGCTGAACTCATTGGATTCGTTTGATTTGTGGCGATATTCTGTTGTGATGGAATTAAATTGAATGTGGTTTCGAATTCAACCTGTTGTGGCGCACGTGATGATCCAGTTGGTGGCGGAACGGTTGCATTTGTTGTTCCCATAACATTTGGCGTCGATGCATTATTTATAACCATCGCTGGTTGCGGTAGAATATTGAACCGAACTGGAGCGATCTCGGGTGCAGGCGTTTTAAATGTGGAATATGCTCGAAACGGTAAATATTCAACGATATTTGCGATGCTCAACATGGGTGTAGGTGGATACGATACACGTTCCGACGCTATTTCGATTTCACATTGCACCGACGGTACACTGCCCGGCGACTCAAACGGTGGCTGTGAATCGAACTCTTCTTCTTTTATGATGGTATCGCTGAAAACGGGTAATTTTCGTCTCTTCTTAAAAGGCAACGAAGCATCACCTTCGTCATTCTCGTCGATTGGCTCGGGCGAATAGTTGGCTGCATTGATATCTTCGGCTTCTAAAAATCGACTGGCAGCGTTCATTAGACGCTTTGTTCGTGTTTTTGTTTTCACTTCGTTTTCCGGCTTATAACCCATTGTCTTCAGATGGTCTCCGAGCTCCTTATAAATCTGCAACATGTATTCGGGTTTGTATTTCATATCCAGTTCGCCTTCACTGTTGCTCGACACAGTGGATAAATTGTCACATGAATCAACATGATCCTCGACCGAGCTGCGTTCGTCGTTCGAGATCAGTGCCGCATTCGTACCAGTCAGTGTGTCGATTAGTGATGCTTTCTCCGGCATTGGTTTTACATTAAGCTTCGTTGAATGCTTTGAGCTGTGCTGCTCCAAGCCCAATGGATGCACAATCGCTGACGGCAACGATGACGTTGGCCCATTTAACAGCTTCATCGTCACATTCGAATTGTGAATCAAGTTGTTATCGCTTTCACAAAACGCTGAGGTTAACGATTGCAACGTATTTGTACCGGGTGACGCGCATTCAGACAACGGACTACCTATATCATTTAAACCTAAATCTAAATCCGTACCTGAGTAGAATAGTTTATACGGTTGATGCTGCGTCTGTGTGGTTTTCGACGGTGATATGTGCTGTTGTTCACTGGTTGCATGTGGTGTTATTGCCACTTGTTGTTGTCGCGATTCTATTGTCAATGATGATGATGATGATGATGATGTCGGAGATTTTGTGAGCTGTGTTGGCGGTTTGGTTGTTGTCAGACTACGATTTCCGGTCGATATTGTTTTATTATTGTATGTTTTCTTAATATAAGTTTTACGTTCCATTATGGTCGAAGGTACATGTTCATTGTCATTTACAATTTCGGTTTTCTCACCAATTCGACGTCGCGATAATGATGTGGCATTCGCAACCGCTTGACTATTATCAGCGGTTGACTCAACGATCACATGTTGTGTCGCTCGCGTTGGGCTTCTATTGTCAACAGTTTTTGCAAATAGATTATTTGTTTTGATACTGCTCAATGGTATAGAACATTCGAAATGTTTTTGCGATGATGATGATGACAAACTGGTCATATCTTGTGGAAAATCATCGCCAGTCTCACTGTCAATCGTATTGTGTGGCTTATGCCTCGTTGGATGAACAACGGTCACACTTTTCTTGGCTTGAGATCGAATCACTTTTGCATTGTAATCGTCCAATGGTTCGCCACCGCCGCTCACACTTTCGCTTGCGACACCGCTGTCTTCACTTCGGCTAATTTCGTCGTCAACGTGTTTCTTATCAAAATTTACAGTTAAATTCTTATCACTTACAACTTGAAGCCGCCGGCACACCGTTGACGGTTCAGGTATGTGGCTCGGCTGAGGCAAACTATCCGAAGATGTTGGCTCTAATGATAATGATGTCGATTCAACTGTACAATCTACGTCTGATGGTTCAGAGACCTTGTTGTTTATCGATCGATTGCTTGTTGAATCCTTTGTCATTTGTACTTTATCAATCAAATCTGAGGTAGGCAAACGATCGTTAAGTTTTTGATTTTTTAATGCGACTGTCAATAATTGTTCCGCTGCCTCATCACTACAACTACTAATACTACCCGATGCAACTACGTTAATCGGCAACGATCTATTGTTGCCATCACTCGAACTAACATTGAATGCATTGCATTCCATTGAATTATCATCATTTGAATGATTTGTGATGACGACGTTTCCATGGCTAGCCTGTTCTGGTTGGCATAATTGATTGTCGGCCGGTGTGCCGTCAACGCGCACCTCATTTTGAGACGACGGACACATTTCAAAATTACTATTCCAATGGATACCTACTTCTTCACGATTTGATAACACACATCCACTATCCATGCTGGGCGAGTTGGTGTGTGTGACGTTCGTGCTTACGGTTGACACATTCACTGGAGCGATCTGTGTACGAATGGAAAATGGCTCACATTAAAACTGCATATTTTGTTTTTGGGCTATCGAGAAATTCAACTCGACTTATGGCAAAGTGGGTGAGTGAGTGAGTGAATTAGAGATATCCTAAGAAAATGTGTGATTAGTGTTGAAAATTGCCCGCATCGCTTCGATGTTGGGGCTAAATGATCGATCAATGGGAATATTTTGCCATTCAAATGTGTAGAAAAACATGGATTCATGCTTCGATTTTACCTTTGTCGTTTGAGATTCATCTGTTGGATTCTTATTCGCCTCGCTATTTTCTTCTGGATCATCGATCACAATAACATCATGTGATATGGATGCACCTTCAAGCCGTTGATCCATTGTTGTCGGCACCACTTTCGCACGTTTGATCAAATCCGTCAGCCAAGAGATGTAGTGACGTGGAACATCGGCATCTTCGAATGCTTCGTCCGTCAAATCGATCAGGTCCGGTTTCGACGTTTGATCAATCACGGATAAATTATCACTATTTTCACTTATTTCAGTTTTAACAGTAACTAATTGGAGCTCTGACGCATCTTCCTCATCATCGCTCAACACAACAACTTCCTGAAATTCGAACACAGATTCAAAGAGATGCAAATGAGTTGCACGGCTTTGCTGAATAAAATGTGATTCAAAATGAAAGCTATTATACTTACGTTAATCTTTCGAGCCACTCCACTAGTCGATGGCTCACCAGAAACCTTTTCTGTTACTTCGAGTGCTCGTAACAAGGGTTGAAACGAGAATTTCTTATCTAGCATACGTACATATTTGTTCGTTATCGTTGAACCGTCTTCATCAGCTGGTAAATACGGCGCGTACTTTGAGTTCATACTGAAAATGACAATGTTTATGACCGTTAAGTTGAGATCACGATGCGAACGGGCTTGTATCTGGATTTTGTATTCGGGTTGATCTAAGTATGAAAAGAGTTTGTGAACGCTTACCACAATGTGCTTTTCGGTTTGGCTTGCGTAGTAAATGCACTTCGAATATCTTCTTTATCTTCGTAAATATCCTCAATAGCGAGCCACTTTTTAAAAACTATTAAGTACTTTACAAACACATCATCCTCTACTTCCACCGGTTCTTTAACGGTAATTTTCACCAGGAAATGTCTGAAACGAGAGATCGTATTCCATTTATCGTGCGCGTTATTTTTATTTTTGACATCAGTATGAGTGTTTTTTTTTAAATCGTATTAAATTGCTCATATGAAAATGTGTTCTCCTTCCTCAAACCGGAACTCTGATATGAAATAAATATCATATCGGCTCAACGGGCATTGAGTCAAACCTTTTACTGAATAATCATTGAATCGAATAAATGAATAAAAAAATCACGATATCGAATCATATATGTTGAATATATTTACTTTAATAGTAGGGTCAAAACGCCTCTATGAACACGACTCAATCGTTTCATATTGATAAAGATATCCAGAACGGTAAAATCCTCGGCAAACTGAAATGAAAGTGAAACATTTGAAATAAATTAATTCGATGTTCCACATTTGGTTGCCACGCATGCGATCAACAACTGTACCTCTAAATGTATTCTATAGATTAACTGTATGCGATTGGCCATTTCGGTGTCCCATTCTAATCCAGACACAGATCCACACAACTCTAAATCGGTATAGGCGGCCAATATCTTTGTTACTCGTCGAAAATATTCTTTCCCCTGGAAAATATTAGAACGCAGATTGTTAGATACGCAATTCACATTTATTAACAGAACTTATCCTGTAAACGCACATAGATTTGGGTGTCAAGCGTATTTTACTGCATACACTACCGTGCAAAAGTTTGGAACCACTAGGTATTTTTCATACAAATTGACCATTTTTGGTGGACTCATTAACATATTTCGGAAATACCTGCACTCTTGTTATTTTGTGCATAGTTTCTACAACGTTTCAATAGTGAATCACAGAGGTTTCATCAAAAAATATTCATGAATTTCAAAAATATAGCAATTTGAATTTGTACTGTGTGAAAAATGATCAAATTTGTATGAAGATTAAAACAGATCAAATTCAAATTGATATATTTTTTAAATACGTGAATATTTTTCGATGAAACCTCTGTGATTTACTATTGAAACGTTGTAGAAACTATGCACAAAATACCAAGATTGCATAAGTGTTTCCGAAATATGTTAATGAGTCCATCAAAAATGGTCAATTTGTATGAAAAATACCTAGTGGTAATACCAAACTTTTGCACGGTAGTGTATGCTCACAAAAACATTTTTATTACAGACAAAGTCCGTGCCATTCACTTTGGTTTTTGTAACAATGGGAAAAAGACTTGAAGAAGAAAACTTACCAGATCAAATCCTTTGTACAAATGACGATAAGAATACAGGAATTCACGAAGATATCGAGCAAGAATGATTGACAGCCTGGGTGATTTACAATATTTTTGATAATCTTCTGCTAATTTCCTACAAAAACGAGTAGAATAAATGACATTTAGTTGAATTTGATGAGACGTGGAACACGTTAGTTGGAAGCAAACTATGACAAACCTGATAAGGAAGTCCATGGCATTCAAAACCGTTCTACTTTTCACTTCGTTTATGCTGCCAAGGCATTTTTGTGTTGATTTCTCAATATCGTTGAGCCACGGAAACAGTTCCAGTACGTTCTTCTTTTGTGGCGTCTTTGCGGGTGGTGGTCGTGACGATGATGCACCCGATTTAGATGATTCTTTGTCAAACGAAGACCTCAAAGTGCCATGATTTGATGAGAATTGGCTATCGTCCGCAGCGAAGCTACTTTCACCGAACGATGTGCCGTGGCTCATTGTTGACTGATTTAAATCGTCTCCGGAATTTGAAAGAAGATGTTTACTTGGTGTATCCATTTCTTAGCCTAAATTCACAATGGAAATTCGATTATTATTTGGCATCATTTTCAATTGTAATTTTTCCACATAAACATTTTGTTATAGTATTCATTCCAAAGCACTGATCACATTGTTTTTTACTCGAAAACAAGATATACAAATTAAATTGATAACAACACGTCCAACTATCGCCCATGCGTTGCATGCAAAAAAATAGAGACAATTTCGAAACCACCCGATCTCACTACGGAAATGTTATACATTCACCTCTGATGATTCGTTAGGTTAGCGTTCACATGATTCGATAAATAAATACACATTTAGGCATTGTCAATGCATCAAAATGATTGGCATCGCTTTTAAATTGACCGTGAAATTCTTTGGCACAATTATGGAATTGAAATGGTTCGTTTCGTTATTATTAAAATAAATCGTAGAAAGAAAAAAATTGGGAAAGAAAACTGAGCATATATAGAGTGAATGAAGTGAAATCAATGGAATGAACATATCGTTGATTGGGGCAACATGGCCGACGCACATACACACTGCACACACATATACCGAAACTGAAAATATTTACCTATTTTCACATAAAAAAACAACTAATTTATGATAATATTCACTAAATTTCATCACTTGATCGGTTTTGATTCACTTTGTTTGACTTATACAAAAATCATTTTCGCATGATTTCGCATTAAATACACCTCTTGTTCGCAATGAATATATACAGCATTGTCATTAGTTCTAATTGTTTTGCTGGGCGAGTGAGTGGCTTCTTTTTTTTTTCTTCCTTTCTTTCTGTCTTTCACTGAACGCGTTCGCCGCACGTATATTAACAACAGCGTGCGTTTGTCTTTGTCGTTCGTTTTTTTTTAGTGTTTCATATGTTCGCGTGTGTATATAAAACAAACTGAGGGAATATGGAGTCGTGTAGCGATTTGACTTTTATGTTTGCCCGATGCAACGACGCATCTGACAGCTGCGTGCTGAGGCCTTGCGGCGGGTTCACACAACACACGGAACACTTTTTGCGTCTTCAAAATTCAAGGCCAACCAGCGAAAATACATCATTTGATAAAACACAATTAATTCGAGAATTGTTCAAGAACATTTCCATTATGAATCATTTGCCGTAATTATTCCATTGATTTCGTCGCTAGTATTTTTCATGTACACAAATAAATAGGGCTACCACAAAGAAAATTTCAAACAACAGCTGATTCAACTGTTTTCTTTGTATTGGGAAAATAATCTGTTAGTCGCTCTAAAAAAAAATTTAAATTTCCATATGCAGATTAAACTGTTTATATCAGACTAACGGTCGTTTATGAACCAATGCAAATATTTTATTGCATTTTATTGAATGACTTGATGTTATAGTATTATTATTATAGCAACAAATGATTCATGTTTCAACAAATTTGAATTCCTTAATAATATGATATGAATTTGAGTCCGAAAAAAATGTCAAGAATTTTTTTTTCATACTTCTGACGAAAAAGACGATCGTCGACACCCAAGGTGGCATTTACACATCAGATGAATTTTTGTTAATCGAAGCATTCTAACCAAACCATGCAATTTCTTATCAACGATTTATTTTTTCAAATCCACCGCTTGTCACCTTAATGACAAATGAAATGTTCAAATTTCAAACCACCTTTGAAGCGAACCGTATTTTGACGTTGCAAATGATGCGAAATAAATCAAAGTTTTTCCGTTTTATTTTGTTTCGATTATAGTCTACGTTATTTATTTTATTTATAGTTTTTCATATTACAATTAGAGCAAGAGTGTGTGAATATAGAGTTATCTTGATTCGATCCGGTCAGTACAGTAACAAACTCTGTGTCGAGAAGAATTCAAAGCACCAATCAATAAGAGAGTCTTATACTAAAATCGTTGAATTCATTCATAGAGAGAGTTTCCTTTGAATATTTAACGTACTAAACAAATACTACTTTTATTTTCATCTATTTATTTTTTTGTTATCGCGCCTCGTTATCTTCTTGCATTTGTCGAAATGCCTAATTGCTGCAGTAACATCCATCCTTGGAATTCTCTCTTATCCAATCCAAGTATCGAGTTACTCTTGTATAAACGCCGGGATAATTGGGTCGAGCGCAGCCATTGCCTATTTGTCACACATTGGAATAGAATTGAGAAAAGAATGTCTCTTCATAATGATCAATGCAAGAAAACTAAATAAATATTTACCCCATGAAACTACACCGACAAGTTCGTACAGCTTATCTTCCCGTTGAGCGATAAGCGGGCCGCCTGAGTCTCCCTAAAAGCAAGTTGCAATCAATATCATTCAAAGATTCGAAACACCACAACAATAAAAAAAAAATAACAACCCATCATCAATAATGCAATAAATGCGTGTGCTCTTACTTGGCATGAGTCTTTCTTTCCGACACCTGGATAGCCAGCGCATAACATGTTATCTGTGATCATTTTTTGTGTATAGTTGGTATTTTCAACGCAAACGTTGTTTGCCATAATTGGAACTTCGACTTCTTGAAGAATGCACGACGGTTTTCCATCTTCTTTCAAAGTGCCCCAACCAGTTGCAACGGCCTTTGTGCCAATATACGTGTTTGCTATCAAGAAGATCAGAGAATAGAGAAAGGTATACCAAAAAATATAGAAAACAAAATAGCCCAACTATTCCAACTGAAATGACGTATTTCAAATGGCTAAAAATGAAGGTGAAAAAAAAAGACGAAACAATTGCGCATACTCTTTCTGGTGGGTAAACAAATTGGCCGAATGAAATCAGTTATTGGCACCCGATCGTTGAGTCTCAATAGAGCCACATCGTTATCAAAGTTCGAAAAGCTGAATGGCTGCGAAATGGCACGAAGAACAAAACGTGTCTCAGGCCGAGTTTTGTCATCGCAACGATCATGTTCGCCAAAGGTTACCTTGATCATAAACCACATGAAACTGAAAATAAAATAAAAGCAGAACAAGAAGAAACACTTAAATATCAATCTATTCCATTTTCTTTCTTTCTCTTTCTCTATTTCACTCGGCATACGTCACAGTGCCGTGATCAATAACCACATGAATTATGATGGTATTGTGCATGCCCATTTCATCTGTTGTCGATGATAAACAAACAAATAAATTAATCTAATTTATCGTATCTCAATTTTAACGTGTGCGTTGTCTTTGTCTTTCAAACGAACCGAGAAATGAAAAGAGAACCAAATCGATAAGTGGCATTGTTTATATATTATACACATATAAATACACATTATCGGCATATCCAAAAAAATAAAACCGGATAGAAGTATAGAATCGATCGATGTACAACGCACTTTGTAGCGGCACGACAGTTTTTTTCTTTTTCTCCGAATGAAAAAAAAGCCTTGAACTTGTGAGCGCCGGAATTAAGCTGACTTTTGACGAGAAAGAAACAGAGAGAGAGAGAGAAAAAAAACCAGCAACGGAGATAATGGCAACAAGACCAAAGAGAAACCGATTTTATTTTCGTTGAATTTAATCACTGCTGCAGTCATTGACATCTCGGCGAAAAAAAAAGTTTTCGGTGAAAAGAACTTGGAACGCGCATTTAAACAAGAAATAGAATTCGAATTTGAAGCAAGCCTATATAAAACCGATTAAATCATTGCTCAATAAATTTCTCTTTATTCTTTGAGCAGCGAGCTGCTGCGAAAAAAACACACACACACGATGGGGTATCTCTTAATATGATGTGATGTGTGTCTGCGCGCGCGCGAGCAAGCAAGCGCAAGCACCTTTTGCTTATTCGTTTGCGCAAAGAATCGTCAATAAATCTAAGTAACATTTCGATCGGTTGGTGCGACTCGCTATTCCAAGCGAATATAACATTATCAAAGACCGCGTCCAATTACGGCAAGAGTGATTATTCTTTCTGTTTTCGGTGTGCAGGTCAATGAACCAATGGATCAACATTAAGAAATGCGTGAAGTTTGCATGCCAAACGTGATTGGCTTCAAGCATTTGGACACAACACAGTGAATCTGTCCATTTCCAAAGGCACGCTTCTTCTTCATGAAGATGTGATGTGTGTGTGTGTGTGTGTGTGTGTGTGCAGTGTGCACACATCTGTATGTGATTAGAATATCACTGTTCAGTTAATTTTTCTATTTATTTTCTTTAAATATATAGATCATTCACTTGAGCATACCCTTTAACGCAATGCGCAGCAGTCAAAACATATCGATCGTTGATTAATGCAGCACCACAGTAGAATCGATTGAAATACGATAGTCGGGCCATCCATGGAAACTCGTTAACACCAGCCGCATCGCCACTGAATTGATGGAGAAATCGAAGAGAGATGGAGCGAGATGGAACAAGAAGGAGAATAAAAGAATAAATGATAAAATGACAAACAACAAAGTAAGAGAATAAAAAGAAAATTATAATCAATTGGCTCGAATGGCAAACGCTCTAATCACTCTCACAATTAATGTTTTCATTTGACTCACCCAACAATTCTTGTTGCATCATTTCTTTCACCACAAGCTGCAAATAGCGATAATCATTTTGAATTCGATCGATGCGGTCTTAGAATTAATCTCATTTAACGACTCCAAGAGATATGCGGATGCACACACACAGGGAGAGAGAAAGAGATTATGAATACTTACTGCATTTGCACGGTGATGCTGGTGTATCGTGCGATGGTGCACGGCTATGATCATTCATCATGTTATTGAATAGGAATTTCTCAGAATCTTTTTTCGTTTGGAGTGCAGAAACCAATGATTTCTTTGCATTATATGTTTTGTACACTCCTTTGCCGTTAGGCGATGAATATGCGTCAATTTGTGCGACAAATACAAACACATAAGCCAATGTAAACAACAATTCCGGATAATTAACCCTCATTGTGATTTCGTTTGGAATTTCGTGGCGATTCGTATGAAAATTTAAGATATTTTGTGTGGTTTTCCTTTAAATCGTTGCGAAAATCAATCAACTTATCAAATTTTCCATAAATATTTTTTTTCCTGCAGTACACTATGTGATCGAAATATTGAATCAGTCTTGAGAATAAATCTATTTACGATTACGGAATTGGCAAGATTACACTAAATTTGCTTTTTATTCTGATTTTTTTTTTTTTTTTGGATTACTCGTCGAACACGCACATGCACACTTGTTGATTGTTTATGAAAAATTCTTACGCTAACACCCAATTGTTCTGTTCAATTCGTAACGATTCAATTTCAATAGTTGGTAAAATGTCGTTAAATTATTCCCAAAGACATTTTAATTTTTTAATAAATTCTTCACTTCCGAAAAAAAGACCAGAACTGTTGTGACGTTCTTAACTCCGCGAATGACACTAGAACTAATGGTATTGTTCGAGTTTGTTATATTCTAGACTCGTTATTCAACGTCATGAACGACAGTCAGAAAGGCCACTGATCGCTGTTTAAATCAACAACATACAGGTAACCTGGGCTTAATGTATGAATATGTCTGCGCTAGAAATTGTTCATGTGTGTATAAAATATACAAAGAGAAAGAAAAGAAAGATCATGACAAAGACGAAAACGGCATCGATGATGACAACAACGGCGGCGGTGATGGTGACGGCGACGACGACGACAACAACAACAAACTCTTAATCCCGTATACACATTAGAGACACTCAGTCAATTCAAATACAGGCTATGTTAAGAATGGCGCAAATCCTAAAAGCGTTCAATGATTCCATGAATCCCCCAAAATTCAGAAGGAACTTTTTTTTTTGAAAAAAAAAATTTGGCTTAAAAAAGAAAAAAGTTTTGGGTGAAATTCGTATTTGTCGGGCATTACGGACTGGGGCCCCGGGAGTAAAATCAGAACACTCCGCCGCATCGAGGCAACCGAGAAGAAAAACAAATACGATAAAAACGATTGAAAAAAAAACAAGAGAAAGAGAGAGCGAGAGAGAGAGAGAGAGAGACAGAGAAAAACATACAACGAAAAGAAAGATGTAGAGAGCTAATAAGTGATTACCATCTACGCGATGTATGTACGCGTAATTAAATGTACGCGAGAACATTAGCTAGTGTATCTAGAATGATAGACAAATACCATTTGTGAGTTAAATTATTCACGAAAAAAAAACAACATGGAGCTGAAAAAAAGAGCATTCCGGTGGAGGGAGCCGCATTCGTTCTCTCGTCGTCATAAACAATATGGAAACCGAGCCTCTTTCATTAAGTTGTCAGTTGGCATCTCATCGCGTCTCGCGTTTCGTTTTGCTCGGTTTAATCATGATCATTCCATTCTTAAATCTTGGCATATTTCTTGTCTTTTCTCATTTTGCAGAAGCGCATCGATGCAAATCGCAAATCGCGAAGCGCAAGCATTCATTCAGCTACGGCAAAAAATGAGCTCTGAATCACAACGAAAGACATCAACGCGCGTTCACGCGCAACCGAAAGTCACACAGTCGGTTAGCACTTTATGTGCTAAACAAAATCTAATGCTAATGTTCTTGTCTTCTCTCAAAAACTTCGAATTTTACTTTTATTTTTATAGATTTTGCGTGGGTTTTATCGAATAAAAGAATTCAAGATCGTGTATCTATCTGATGGTAACCTCTGCAAAGTCCCGTTAATCACATTCTACGATCTATCTAGAAATTAAATTAGTTTTGAGTTCATTTGAAAATATTCTCTCTCCATGTGTGTTTACTGTTGTTGCTGTTTTTTCTTCCCTTCTGCGCTTGAAGAGGATACATTTCATATAATTGAAAATACGAATAATTCGTTTTAATCGCGCTTGTGTAAATTAGTTCATGGCAGTTATTCGTGCAAAGATCGGTGTTCCAAATCTAAACCTATATTCTTTTATGATTATTCACACAAGTATTAAGTTTGTTGAATTCAAGTAAACATTATTATTATTCATTCATTCATTCATTCATTCATTCATTCATTCAGTTGAAAAGTCAGAACATGAACAATTCAACACACACACGAAAAAAATATGCAAGAACTGAACCCATAACATCTTTGATGTTTATGATTTGCTCTTGTTTTCATTTATGAGCGGTGTCATAAATGAAGATATCCGTCGTAAAGATGAAAACGAAATTTCTTTATGCCACTTTTTTTTGCTGTTGCTACTGCTGATGGATGCTTAACACGCGTTGTATATTTTGAAGTGCAAATGGCACTTTTTCGTCTGATATCTTAGATCTAAATTTATTCAAAATCGAGATGGAAAAAAAACACAGACTCTGTGAAGCATTTTATTTTATTTTATTTTATTTTTTCACAAACGAAGCGTGTGTTCAAATGAAGTAGGCCTCACTACTGCGAAAGAAATCAGAAAATGTTAATTTTTCTTTTTCTATTGGAATTTTTGCTATTTTCCCATCGTAACAACGTTTTGATACGAATAAAAAAAACGTGCGAGAGGAAAGTGCAATTCATCAAACACTGTCCACTGGCTAATTAAACCATAATCACTTGAAATGACACAGTGCATTGTGCAGTGCGTTATGAGCAAAGATAAACGCATCGGCCAAATCATATGCGATGCGATTTCTTTGCACGCGCTTTGTCCAACTTTAACTGAGTATGTTTATTATTTATTGAAGATATGACAGTCGATGTGTGCGTATATGGATGCAAACAAATCGGACCGTCTTTTCAACATAAACAAGACATCTCGAACTTTTTTCTTCTTCTTTGAGTTTTTTTCTTCGGACGATCGATATATATATATATATATTCAAAAGAAAGTTTTTTTATGTGTAAATGTACCCACCGAAAAAAATAACCATTTTTGAGTTGATAACATCCATTGCCAAATATAAAAATTGGGTCAATCACAAAAGAATTCATATACGACACTGGAGCATGGAGCATATTTGTATTCATAATGTAACCCAAAAGCTAAAAATATGCAATTTATGCGATTTCTTTTCTTTTCTTCACACATTGTGGCCATTCAAATGGAATACTGAAAGGAAAGGTGTAGTAAGAAGATTATGAAAAACGGTTATTTTGACCTAAGTTATAACGCAACGCGTATATCTTCGGACGAGGAAAAATAATGAAGAATCTCAAGCACAAAAGAACAACTTGTTGTTTTTATGTTTATATACTGAGTCTCTATTGTCGCATGTTCTTAACACTAAACATTTTTTTTTTGTCTTTTTTCAAAGGATGAAACCGTTCCTCTTCACAGAGAAAACAATAAATAAATTAATGCTAAAAATTCTTGTTTTTAATGTCTCTATCTCATCTTTTCTCGATCGATTCCGGTGGATCGGTGTTGCGTTTAGCTACCGCAAACGCATCCATCGATATTCGCCCTCAGCCATGGCATGTACCGTGGAACACGCGTGTATACGCCTGGATAACCTGCTCTACCACATCCCACACCCCAACTCACGATGCCTGCAAAGAAAAATTCAAGGAAACTGCATCATTTTCCATCCATTTGGATATTCAAATGCAATTTAAATAAAACGGTTGCATACCTATAACTTCATACTTTCCGTTATTGTACACAACCAACGGACCACCTGAGTCACCCTAAAAATGGTACAAATTGTAAAAACCGTTGATTTGAAACTGTTTTCTGGGAATTTTAATTAATCGACTTACCTGACATGAATCTTGTTTCCCTTTTCCAGCACAAACCATATTTGGTGTGATGCGAGATGATCGATACTTCATGTTTCGGCATTGATTCAACGATAAAATTGGCACTTCAACGTGTTGCACGACACTTGGCAGTGCTCCACCTTCAGATGTTCGACCTAGAACACGCAAAACGGTTTGAAGTGTAATTTTTTTGCATTCAACAGTTAATCGGGCTCGATCGAACATGCACAAAATGGCACTTACCCCATCCAACGGCAATGCCTGTTTTACCAGCTGGATCAAAATCATCGGTGGGCAAACACACGGGCATAATGTTTTTGGAATATGTAATTGGTTTACGTAGTTTCAACAGTGCAATGTCGTGATTGTACGTGTTCGAATCAAAATATCGATGTTTTATCACCGCACTGACCGCTCGCATTTTGGCATCGGCATCACTGATCACGGTTTGATCGTGGTCGCCCAAAATGATGCGAATTTTTGATCGTTTCAGTCGTCGTACACAATGCGCGGCTGTTAAAACGTATTCTTTGGATATTAGCGATGCTCCACAATGAAAGTTTCCATCGTAAACTGTGTGTCATGAGGAATGTAAAATCATGAGTGGAATGCATTCCAAGAATTAATTCTGTAGCAATAAACACAATGGCAATACATACCCAAACGAGCAATCCATGGATATTGCTATACACATTGCAACAAAATCAAAGAAATCATAATTAAATACACAATCATTTTGATTGACAATTCGAAATGGACGGATTCTTACATTCACTCCGGTCGGTTTTCCACCCACGATACGTGTCTCTTGATTTGACTGGCCACATGCCTTTCTATCTGTTTTTAAACAATACAAGCAATTAGCGTTCAACTCATTTAGTTTAACCGTGCGTTTATTGTTTGGTTTTTTTTTCTCGCGAAATTTGTTTACCGCATTTGCATGGTTTCGGTGGCTCATCGTCTTCGTCATCGTCGTCATCGAAATCGGTAGCGTCCAATGGTGGTGTGTCGATGCCAAAGAATGAATCGAACAAAAAGCGACCGATTCGGTTTGTAGACCCACTTTTTCGACTCGCATTCGTGTGACGATTAATATTGAAATGTTGAAAGCTATTTGTCGTATTCGTTGTTGCACCGTTGATGTACGCATCAACGTGAAATGATTCTAATAAGCATATCACTAGCAGAATGTATGCTATACAAAAACATAATTGTGAACATATCGATTTGTTTAATCGTGCTCGTGTTAGTCGTTGACTCTTTCTCACTTTCATTTTCATTTTGTAGACCTTATTTTCAATGCATTTACTAAATAAATTTGCTTTATGTTTGTCATGTACTTGATTCTTCGTACGCACTTAAATTCTTCTGCTCATGATAGAGTCTAGTTTTTTAGAGGTTCGTTCATTTGTTTAGCCACAGCAATTCAATCACGCATATAATTATGATGGGAAAAATAAATTCACTCTTCATTGATATAATCAATGGGTGATGCATGCAACCATATGATTTCCCGTGTGTATTTTATCACAATTTTTGGATTTTCCGCACAACAGCTGCTGCTCGTGTTGGATTCATTTACACAATTTTACCTTTTTGATGAGATCAATTGGTGCCCACGAATCATTTAGATGAACAAACAATCGAAAGAAAGTAAAAAGTAAACAAGAATCTCTTTTCGATTGATTTGAATGGAGTGCAATAAATGATTTTTTCACCAGGGCACCTACTTTTCTTCTACTTCGTGTTGGCTTTTGTGCCAAAATAGAATGGCAATTCAGAAACACTTCCACATTGTGGCCAAATGTACCGAGTGAGAGTGTTTGAACTATTGTTGATTGGCAAACTATGCAACGTTCAGCAACGGTTTGATCTCGTTCTTATGGAAATGCTAATTCAATGGATTCTATTGTATCACTTGTCTTTGGTTTGATCTAATTTCAATGTTTACTTCAAATCTGTCACTTTATTATTTACTGATTGTCAAATCCAAAATAAAGGAAGCTTCAAAGCGAAAAATAAATAAACGGCCTTTTCTAATTTTGAACACGAAATGCGATGCGAATGGCGAACTGAATTCTGAAATCTCGTGGTGCTGTAATTCTGTGTGTGCAAGTGGGAGAGAAAAAAAAAGAGCAACGAATTTTATCGAACGAGGTAATATGCACGACTAAACTGTGTCAGATATTTTATCACACTGTTTAACGTTCGATTCCATTCACAAAGTCGCCGTTGTTGTTGGTGCTGCCCATGCCATTGCTATTTCTTTGTGTGTTTCGGGCTAATCTTTGCGTGAATGCGTTCGCTTGGACATTAGTGTTCATATTGTGAACATAACATACTTAAACTATACGAAAGAAAAAGTGCGCACGAGTGCGAACCACGAAAAAAAATGAGCGTCGACGATGACGATGACGACGACGACGACGACGACGACGACGACGACGACGACGACGACGACGACTATCATACATATGTTTACACTTTTATATTATTTGTGTATTTGATCAATGAAGAAGATGATGCTGTCGTATGGTTTTTCTCTGAGCGCCAACCAAAGAGATCTCACTCTCTCTGGAGTGTGTGAGCTAGCAATTTGAATGGCCATCACACATTTTGTCGATGATCACATGGAAAGAAGTGAGAAAAGAAAATATCACAAAGACAACTATTGAACCGGAGGAGAGTGACTTGAGCGAAGACACAAAGCTCTTAAACATGTGCGACTTTCATTCATGGCCAGTGCGTTCCATTTTATTGTTGCGGTCTCGGCCAATCGAACCAAATTTGATGAACCAAGAGAGAGAAACAAAAAAGAAAGTTTCGTATTTTTTCTTTCTTCATGCCAATGCTGTGGCCGGTGACGATGCAACGTTTGTAATCGATTGAACGAATGAGAGACAGAGAGAAAAGAGAGAGAAAGAAGTGGTGGAAATCAATCAAAAATTTTGAAGATGGATCAAAATCGAGAGTGCACCAACTTCAATTGCGTCGTGGGGAATTCACGTTGTTGCCTGCGTCGTCGTCTGCGTCGTCGTCATCGCAATCATAAATAATAGTTTCAATTGATTTGGATGTTATCATATGGCGATTGTAACGAGAAAAAAAAAACTTTCACTAGAGCAGACGTATGGTGTGACTACAGTACAACGCATCAACGTACCGGACGATCAAACACCGGATGATACAGAACGAACACAAGCAATAGAAACGAAATGGACGTGATTACCACAGCAATCTAGCTCGTCTATGCGTCTATTTCTTCAATGTCTTACTAATTTTGGGGAAAGTAATTTCTGCGTTCGAAGAATTATTTTCACTCACAACAAACTGATTAGTCTTCATTACATAAAGTCTTTTTGGGCCCATTTGTTGTTGTTTTTTTTACATTTTCATTTGCTTTTTGGAAAGTGTTTGTCTTTTCCATCACGTGTTTGCTTTCATTCTGAAAGATTGAAACGTTCCATTTGTATATGACTTTTAGTGTGATAAAGTGTTTCAGAACCATCGATGAACTTGTTCTTCGTTACTCAATCGATTCGTTTGTTGGTGATATGAAGAAGAAAAAACCTGCTACACAAGTTTTGCGGATACGATCCCGCAAATGTTATATAAATTGATGGTATTGTCTCTCTGGCGCAACTGCATTTTGTGGACCGTGCGGAAAAAAAAATTGAAACGAATTGTGCGATGTGCGTATCTTTTCTTTTCGTAGAATTGCATTACAACAACATTACCGGTTTCGTTGTCGTCAAAGATGTTCATCATCAAGAATATGATGCAAGGCTGATTCTTGCTGGATCTTCGGTAATTTCCATGTGTCGAAAATAGCTCATAGTTCTGGAGCAGTTTCTTTCAATTGCTGAAATTACACATTTGCACATTGTTAATGCTCTCATTTCATGGTTTGCATTTTTGTTTGCACAAGGGTATATACATGAGAAGATGATCGGAAGTTAATAATTGTGTTGTTTGGTTGAATCGACAGAAAATTATCCATATTATCGCGTGCACGATTGTCGAGTATGTGTGTGTGTGTGTGTGTGGTGGATTCTAAACGCGGAATGAACACAAATAACTGCATAGATTTTTTTTCATTCGCGTTCAGTTATTCTCGTTTATTGCTGAAAAAAAGAAGCATTTTATTTTAAAATTGTCGCATGGCGACACTGTTCTTCCGAGTACTGTGCTAAATTGAGCTGTTCAACATTGCACGTTCCAGAAATTGATTCTGGAAATTCCATTCGTTTGCATCAGTCGTGCGGATGCTGTGTGAACATGGACGGAAAGTAGATGTGCAAGGGCAAATAAAATCTCGTGTTTTATGATAAAAAGAGCGTGATCTGTTTGCGACAACGTTTATTTAACGGTTTTTTTGTTTCTCCATTTCATGGTTGCAAATATTTCAGTACATCGGCGACACTGATAAAAGATATGTTGTTGAACGAAAATGCGAATACGCTAAAATGTTGTGAAATGTGTCGAAATTGAAGTTTTCTTCAAATTGAAATAAGTATAAGTTCTTGAGCAAAGAAAAAAAAACATATAAAAAATCCCGTTGCATCGTGTTGCAATCGTTTATGCCTGCAGTCATACAACAATCAGCTGTTTTTATTGTTGTTGCTGTTGTTGTTTCCTCGAATTGTGCTTAAACGGCCCTTTTGTTCCGTTTTGTCGTGAACACATTTTTCTTCTTCTTTCAAACGATTTGTAGCAGTTTATCGTCTTTTCCCTTTGAATTTTTATGAATATTCAGCGATTGTGTACAAAATCGATCTGAGTCGGAGCGTGTTAGGCAGCATAGTGAAATGCTTTCTTATCTGTATAGAAAATTGATTAAGAATTCATATGCATAACAGAATAAACGACTGAAATCAAGAAATAGCGGTAAAAAGGCAACGAGTTCATTAAAATTCAGTACGAATATTCTTTTAGACTCTTTTTTTATATAGTTCCATCTTCACATATGCTTCTGCCGCTGCTGCTTGGTATTTTATTTACGTTTTGCTTGCTTTTTGTACTGCTCTTCCACTTACATATTCATTCGCTCGATTATATACTTTAGCTTTGCTGATGGCGATGGCCAATTCAAAGATGTTGTCACATATCGGAACAACCAGTTTATACCAATGACATACAGTGCTTTGTATGTTGGGTTGTTTGGTACTCAATTCGTTTATTGAAAATTGATCAGAGTTCGATGATTGTCCTGCTTAAGCGCACTCATCGCATACACTGAACAGCGCTGCACGGTGAAATTTTGATGGCACGATATGATACCATCAACCAAATTTTACTTATTTTTCTTTGTTCTAATTTTGACCTAAACCTAATATCGAATTAATCAATTTTTCTTTCTATTTGCGATTTTCAGTTCGATAACAAAATCAACGTGATAGAAATATTGTGATTATTTGAACCAACGAGAAATTCGTGTAATTGAAAATTTCGAAAAGATTTGGGAGACGTGGAGCCTACGATTTGAAATCGATTATCAAATTAAAATGAACCATTTATACGCTTTTCCGATCATAGCAGTTTTGTTCTTAACAACAATTTGCAGTGCAGTGAGTAAAATATTCTCGTTAACACCCGATGATACGGTAATTTTTTTTAAAAAAAAACTACCTATTGAATCAATCACTAGGATCCAATTCCGGCCAACACCACGGTTAATCGTCGGATTGAAGCCCAAGACTTGAATGATACACTAATCGTTAATGCAATCACTGCAAATGGAAATTTGAATGGAAACGATCGTAATCCGATCAGCGATTGGATTGTTGGCATTATAGGAAGTAGACCAACCGAAAAACCACCACAATTAGATCCGCCGGACCATTGTGATTCATGCAGTTGAGTAAATTTTCAATTTATTTTGAGAAACTAGAAATGAGTTATGATTTTTTTCCAAATTTGCACAATACTATTTGCCACACACACACACACACACAGACACATTTCATAATTGGTTGTTTCAGGTTGCGGAATTGCAAATAAGCAAAAACGTATCGTTGGCGGCCAGGAAACTGAAGTGAACCAATATCCATGGATGGCTTTGCTTACGTACAGCAATCGCTTCTATTGTGGCGCCTCTCTGATCAATGATCGATATGTTATGACGGCAGCCCATTGTGTTAGCGGCTTCAATAAAGATCGAATTGGTGTCACCCTACTCGAACATGATCGATCAAAGCCGGGTGAAACCGAACTGATCAAAAGAAAGGTTTGTCCAGGAAATATTGCCTTTTTCAAGAAAGTGACTTTTATTTAAAAAAAAACATTAATAACCTAAATTGTGCTATAGGTTATGCGGATCATAAGGCATGCTGGTTATAGCCCGACTAATTTCAACAATGACATTGGTATGATATTGAATAAATTTTTATTTAAAAAATTGAATCTTAATGGATAAAAAACTAAACTAAAATCATGTTGATGACTTCGTTTTCAAGCTTTGCTACGATTGGATCGAGAGGTGAAGTTCACCAATGTTCTGAAACCAGTTTGTATGCCATCGCGTGGAAAAAGTTTTTCGCATCTTGACGTAAGCCAAATCTTGACAAAAATCATTTATAATTCTTTTTGTTCAATATTGAAAATAAACACTTCTCATAGGGAATCGCCACTGGCTGGGGCGCTACAAAAGGTACATTCAAGAAATGCATTCGGTTATCATTCGTTGTTTTGAATCTCTTTCATTTGTCGCCATTCCAGAACAAGGAGACATTTCAGTGAATTTACAAGAAGTAACGGTGCCAATTTTATCGAATTCTGAATGTCGCAAAACCGGATACGGTGCGTCACGAATCACAGACAATATGCTTTGTGCTGGTTTAAAAGATGGGCAAAAAGATTCGTGCCAAGTAGGTCATTTTATATGTGCATCGTACCGTACGTATTGAATAATAAATTGCATGATTTGATTTTGGTTAGGGTGATTCGGGTGGTCCGTTGCATGTGGTCAACGATACCATTTATCAGGTCGTTGGCGTTGTGAGCTGGGGCGAAGGTTGTGCACAACCAGACTATCCCGGAGTTTATACACGGTAATTTCAACGTTTTGAATGAAATAAAAAAAAATAAATCAAAAACTGATAATCACACACTGTGATTCGAATATTGTAGTGTAAACCGTTATCGAACGTGGATTAAAAGTAATACACGAGATGCGTGTTACTGTGAGGACTAGTGATGCCCAATTCTAGTGATATGCTTTCAAAATGCATCCCATGATTTGAGACAGAGATAGAAAAAAAAAACAGCGAGACAAAGTGAGATGCAAGAAGTAACCGTTTGAACAGCCGTACGAAAAAAGAATTAACAGCATATATAATGATTCAATTTCATATTTCTAACATATTATTTATTTATTTATTTATTAATCAATCAATAAATCAGCAGATGAAATCATCTGAATGTGTAATGGATTTCTTATATTTTTCGAATTTTTGCGTACGTTTTGAATGTTGGCCCGATTCGATCTGTATTATCGACACATTCTCCCGTTCGCACTCACACATGCACATACACTTTACCGCACAAGCGTCGATGAGCTGCTGGTCTTTTGAATGAAGCCGTTAACGGGCTTCTCTTTATCTGAATGTACGCCATCTTTAAATAGTACTTGAATTTTTTTGCCCCCATTTCATTCATATTTTTTTCACGAAAAGTTCAAATAGATTGGTGAAAATTTAAAATAATTTTGTCGAATTTATTACGAATGTGAAAAATGTTCGTTGTGATGTGAATTCGGTCGATACAATTGCAGTCGAACCGGTAGTAGTGAATATGCGTCAAAGGAGAAATCAAGCTGAATACGAATGCACCAATACAGAGTAAATACAGCACTTATACCAACCGACCGAAATTCTCGTAAACACACATTTACAGTCATTTGCGACCGCCATTTTCGCTTGATTTTTTTGTCAGAAGACTCACTCGGTGTGTTTACGTACACAAATAAAAACGAAAAATTAAACGAAATTCTAAAAATTATCTAAAAGAAAATCCACGTAATTCCATTGTAAATTGGTAAATGTGTGTATAGCGCGTATAAAAATTGTGATTGGTGATGGATAAATGGTCGAATTTATTGAATATTTGTGGTGTGTAAGCGTCGCATCAAAACAATCATCAAACAACATTTCAGTGAAGTGTTCCACTATCTTAGTTCCAGTACAAATTTGATGCATCACAACAACTTTGCGGGCCCGTATCGTTCTATTTTGCGCCAAATTTGCCGTCGCAAAAACATTTGTGTTATGTAAAATTCAAGTGGCGAACTTGTATAATGCACATACTAATTCTCGGAAATGAACCATAAAAATGATTATTTTTACCATTTGTGCGATGCGCTTGCTATACATGTACAGTTAAGAGTGCGAAGAGAGAAGGGTGCATAGAAATGACCGAAAAGTGAAGCAAACCAATCAACATCGAAATATTTTGAAAAAACCAAAAATTTCGACAAACTAGAAGAAAAAAAACACTATGATCGATTTATAAACTGAAACGGCATTTTGCTGAACAAATTTTTTGTGTTTAGTTTTCCATTTTTCGTTTTTTTTTTTGGTTTCAAATATTCTAAAATTTGGTGAAAATTGACGACAGGAGAGAGAGAGAGAGAGAGAGAGAGAGAGAGAGAGAGAGAGAGAGAGAGAGAAAAAAAACTAACTTTGAATCCAATTCGATTCAATGTGTGTGTGCGTATATGTGTGCAAAGAGGAAGATTTTGATGAGAGCGCCAATAAACACGAATTGAATTCGTAGCGCGCGCTGTCAATTTGCTAACCGAACAATAACCTAAACATAAACACCGAAATGTTTTCGATGCAGTGCAATTAAAACGGACACAGCATTCGATCAACAAATTTCGTTAAATTTTTGTTTCTCTTGGTATTGTGTGAACAAAAGAAAATAATCAACAAAATAAAATCGACAGAAAACAAAAGAAACACTGTTAAAAGAAGAAGAAAAAGAAGGAAAAGGTGAAATTCTGCCAAAATTAGCAGTGTGTGAATAGTGTGAATTGAATAGAATTCGTTTAGTTTATTTGTATTGTTATCAAAATGTTTTACGCACATATTGTGTTGGCCAAGAAAGGGCCATTGGCCCGAATTTGGTTGGCGGCGCATTGGGACAAGAAATTGACCAAGGCACATGTCTTTGAGACAAACATCGAACAAAGTGTGGATGGTATCATGCAACCGAAAGTCAAATTAGCGTTGCGTACATCGGGTCACTTGCTGCTCGGTGTCGTTCGAATCTACTCACGCAAAGCCAAATATTTGCTTGCCGATTGTAATGAGGCTTTTGTCAAAATTAAAATGGCATTCCGGCCGGGCATGGTCGATTTGCCGGAAGAACATCGCGAGGCGGCCGTTAATGCAATCACACTTCCCGAAGTGTTCCATGATTTCGACACGGCGTTACCCGAATTGAAGTAAGTGCTAAGAAAAACCATTTTGGAGGGAAAAAACCGACAAATAATTTATACAATTAACGTATTTATTGTTTTTACATTTGTGTAACAGTGATGTGGATATAGAAGCACAATTTTCTATAAATCAATCGAGAGCGGATGAAATCACAATGCGAGAAGACTATGGAAACCTTCCAATGACCATTCATGATGACGGTTTCGGTGATATCGGCTTCGATGCCGACGGTCCAGATTTTATTCGCGACGATGTTGATGCACACATTGATGTAAGCTATTGGATTACAATACAAAAATGAATGAATGAGTGAATGATTGTTTTATATTTTTGCCGCCAAACGTAGGAACACTTGATTAGTGACGATTTGGAGCTCGACGAAGGTTCATTGAAGGAACCAGTGGCCGGGACATCGCGAATGCAAGATATTGACTCGTCACAAATGATCACCGACGATGGTTTTGGCGGCAGTAGTTTTGGCCGTGAGTATTCGATGAATTTCAATGATTGATAGACACAACATTCTCACGGTGATTTTTTCTCCTCACATTTTCATGAACAGAAGAGCCAGCTGCTGGTCTATTCGAAGGTGATTTATTTGCCGATGCACCATTACCACAGTCCACTATACCACAAATTGAACATGATTCCGACGATGATCTGGATGGCGGTTGGGATATGGGAGCACGTTCAACAGCATCAAGGTAAGTGATACATACAACGTTTGAGAGAACGAAATGGTATTAAATAAGAGGATATGTATTTGCTAAGCTCTGCTGGTTCGAGACCGCCAACGCCAATGCAAGTTGGAACATCACAGTTGATGGATATGGGAGCGCCATCAGTAACATCGCCCACACAACAGCTGGACGATTTGGGTGGTCCGCATGTCGAAGGTGCCGAGACATCGGTGGACGAAGGTTTGCCAGGTGCTGTTCCTGACGTGGTCGAAAGTGCACTTGATCAAGAAGACGAGCACGAGCCACACGATGAGGAAAGTTTTGCATTGGCACCGATCGATGCATCAGCGCTCAAAGGAGTCACAAAAACAAAGCGAAAACGAAAGCTCATCGTTGATGAGGTGAAAAATATCTCGGGTGAAGAGATGAAAAGTCAGCTGGCCAATACATCTGACATTATTACCACATTGGATTTGGCGCCGCCAACAAAACGACTTATGTACTGGAAGGAAACGGGTGGTGTTGAAAAATTGTTCGCTCTGCCGTCAAGGGATATTCCGGCCAGAGAATTGTCGAAGAATTACCAACGAAATTTGACGTCACGATCGACGGGCGTTGAAGACTTTTCAATGCTCGGACCACCAGATGCGCTGGCATTGGATCAGTATCAAGAACAACCGCAAGTTATACTGCAGCAACCAGAGCCGGCGGTGCCTGGTAAACGTGGCCGAAAGCGAAAGATCGCCGAAGCACCAGCCCCAGCAGCACCAGCAGCTGCAGCAGACGTATCTCGACCGGTGGCTGAACTGCAAGACGACCAATCGTTAGATTTGCTACCACCACCAACACCCCAAATGCCGAGCCCAGTTCACGAAGGTGTATCACATTTGGACGGAGATATTCCACTCGCATTCACATCAAACAATTTGTCGGTTCCGGCTGGAATGACACCGGTAAGCTACAGCGCGTGCATCTGCTCGCAATTGAAATATGTGTCTTTTTGATACTTTTGTTGTTCTGACATTAACGTTTGATTCTGAAATTGTTTCAGCTTCACGGTGGCATGACGCCAGTAAGTTTGCATGGAGATTACGCATCAGCGTTCACACCGTTGGATCATGGTATGATGACGCCACAGCATCCGAGCATCGATCAAATTGAGTCAATACCAAATCTGCCGGTTGATCAAGTGTCATCTATCTTGAATGGAACTGAAATGGATGGCTTCGCCAATATGGGCTACGACGACAGTCACCAAATTGGCGGTCCAGGCATGTCAGAACGCATCGCAAGCGATTGGAATGATGACTACGATTTCCCACCATCAGTTGTTGCACCTGTAAGTATCCCCATAATTTTACATCTAACGAACATTTCAAGGCGGTATCTTTTTGTCATTCGACGTCTAATATTTTGTTCAAATGTTTCAATCAGCAACCGGGCGATGAGCAAATGGAAAACGAAACGGACGAACAATTCGAGGAACGTGTGCTCAACAAGCGAGCAGCTCAAATGTTTGTTTCAGTACGTGCTCGCTTACAAAAGCAAGACAGCATACAGTTATCGGATATGACATACAGAAACAATCGAAAACAGGTAACTTTCAATCCATTCCTGTAGTATTGTTCATAGGAATAGCAAAATCTATCTATAGTCAAGCATTTGGTGTATTAAATGTCATTTTTTCATTTGTACTTTACTACAGGCGGCCCAAAAATTCTACTCGTTGTTGGTATTAAAGAAATTCCAAGCGCTAGAAATAAGACAAGACATGGCATATGGTGATATCACTGTAACAAAAGGCATCATGTTTGATAACCCAAAACTCTAAATGGGGAGCACATATAAAAACACTCTCACAATCTACCTAAAACACACCCACACTATGTTACGATAATAAGATGCTTTACACCCTATTGATTTGCCTATAGAGACTTAGAATTTAAGTGAAACTAAATATAAAATCAATGAACCCGTTTCTATGTCTAACTTTTTCCAATGCAAGAAAGAAAAAAAAGAACAACAACAAAATCCAACTAAAATTAGTGAATTGAATGTTTGTATGTGTAACTAACTGATTGTATAGCAAAAATTTTATTTTTGTTTATACTGACTTAGTCAAAGTATCAGTCTATTCTAAGCAATTAACGAATTAAAAAAAATTCAAATGGCATCATGAATTCGCTAAAAACAGAACAGAGTGATGAAAAACACAAAGATATGTAAAAAAAAAACAACAACATCGGCAGCGGCGGCAGCAGTAGCAGCAGCTAGCAACACAGCATGTAGACTGTCAAGAAACTGGTGCACATGAAATGCAATGTGAGAATTTTGCTGCATTTCACATGAGGTTGCCACTTTCGAGGTCTCCATTGTAATGCGAAATTCATGCAATGTTTATCATGTGCATTTGGTTCGTGACTCATTTTAATGTCCATTAAAAAATGGCAATTTCATTTAATTAAAGAAAAACCCATACACAAGTATAACATAAAAATTTACTCATTCAAAGTGAATGAAGAAAAAACACAATTATGTGAGGGAAAAAAAGCAACAAAAACAATATTAACGTCAAAACTGTACAAAACTATTTTAGAATTTGAAAGATAGATATAGAGAGAGAGAGCGAGAGAGAGAGAGAGAGAGAGAGAGAGAGAGCGAGAGAGAGAGAGGGAGATAGAGAGAAAAATCCAACCGAATCTCATGAGTGTCCACCAAATATCAAACGTGTAAACCATTCTTTTAAGTGTGTCAGCTAACAGACACGATATTTTAAATGAAATGAAATTATATAAATCAGAAATAAACTAATAATATTAATGAAAAGTGAATATTTTTAACAAATCAAAGCCAATCATTTTCTTCATAAGGATTATATCGCATCATTCGATGAGATTCGGGTGCATTTTTAGTTTAGATTAAATTAAATGTCTTAGTTCAAGATTTAAAAATTGATCATGTTCATAAGTCTATCATTTATGTTCAGCCCCTATCAAATGTAAATTGTTTTCTTTTTTTTTATATGAACAGCAACCTAATTCTTAACTTGTCATATCGCAATGGATTGCCGATTTGAATGCAATCGCACCCCCCAAAAAAGAAGAAAAAAGAACACATCGATCTAACCCATGGATCGTGATGTTTTTTTTATTTATTTCATGCCACTTTTTATTCAGTTAGTTTAAATAGGGAATTTCAAGCGTCAGCATGGATTTTTTTTTGTCGTTTATTCTTGAGCCCTTAAGATTTTCGATACAATTCGCGAAATAAAATAATTCTAAAATGCCTATTTCATTGAGAAGAAAAGAAAATTGTGCATGTTCGAAGAACAGAGTTCGTTTTACGTTATTTGTTGTGCATTCGAAACGCCTTCCATAACAAATAGGCATTTCACAATTATTTTCATTGTTCCTTTTCAAAGAAAGTTAAAGTACGATTCATTCAGCTATTTCAATATTCTTTTTAGTTTTTACTTACCTCAAAATTTTATTGGAAGAAACACCTATAGAGAAGAAAAAACTCTAGATTGAAGTCGATCGATACCAGTAGTTTGATGAACTTAATTTTCCACCGAAAATTCTCAACTTTCTTTACCTCAAAGCGAATCACATTCATTATCATCATCAAAGATGGCTCAAAGATTTACTTTATGATCGAACAAACAAAAAATGATTACAAAATAACCAAATGCCAAAATAAAAACACTTATTTTATTTTAATTTTTTTTTTCTGTTTCCTCTTTTCTCTTCATTCATATTACAATTTCATTTGAATTATTATTATTATTGACACTCTGGCGCCGTGTAAGGGGTTTGCTGGGGCATAAAACTAATCACTTCTTTGAAAACCAATTCTGTTGCAAAATGTGGAAAGAAATACAAACCAAATTATTAAAACAAAAACAATAAAAGAAATGAGAAATGAAACCAAGTAATAAAACTTAAAGAAGAAGAAAAAAACAAACAAATTTAGCGATGCAGTTATTCATTTACCTTTCCATTTTTCCACGGGCAAATCCATGTCTTCGAAACTTTGATCGTACAACGGTGATGTGGGCTCATCATTTGGATCGGCATACTTTTCCAAATACGGATGAGCCAGAGCCTGTTCGGCAGTGATTCGTTTGTCGGCATCTAATTCAAGCATTTTCTCTAATAAATCTATGGCAAGTGGATTGGCTCCACGGAACACTGTTGTAAAATCCTTTTTCTTCGTTGGCGGAAGTGATTTTATGTAGTTTCGCGCCTGCAACACAGAAATAAACAGATAAAATCCAGTTTTTTTTTTCATCAAAATTCATTGAAAATGATTGTTGTTTCGATTTTCAACTTACGCTTTCTGATGATATTTTTGACATGAAATCGTCGGGCGGTGTTCCAATAACATCCATGATCAAGTTGAGTTGTTGTATATCTGAAACACGTGCATGAATTGATGAGAAACGATCAATTTTCAATCGACAGTGAAAATTCAATTTTAATTGTTCTTACGATCAGTTCCTGGGAATAGTGTACGCCCCGTAAGTAATTCAGCCATAATGCAGCCCACCGACCAAATATCTACTGTTTGCGTGTAATGCATCCAGTTGAGCATTATTTCGGGTGCACGATACCATCTAAAAACAAAACCAAAGCGGAACACATTCGTTAAAACGATAAATTGAATGGGATGACGATTTTAGTGTGAATAAATGATGATAAATTACCTCGTCGCCACATAGCCGGTCATTTCATTTTCCGTCGGACGAGCCAAACCAAAATCTAAGATTTTCAATTCGCAATCCTCATTAACGGCAATGTTTGAAGGTTTTAGATCCTATCGACAACGCAATCAGTATGTGCAATAAATACAAGAGATTAGTACAAAAAAAAGAGCAACACATTCGAATTTCATGAATGAACTAAAATAAAAATGATTGAAAAAAACATACTCGATGTATAATACCAGCACTGTGTATATATTTGAGACCCCGAAGTATTTGATACACCAAAAATTGTACATGATCATCGGATAAACGTTGCGTTCGAATGATGTTGTTCAAATCGGCGCCCATCAAATGTGTACATAAGTACACTTGTTGAAACGAGTCGATTGTATTGCTGCCCGGGTGAAATACATCCAACAAACCGATTACATTTTCATGATTCATGTGCTTTAACAAGCGTAGCTCACGATAAGTACGCTTTGCATGCACAGCTGACTGAAACGGTCGCGCCAATTTTTTTATGGCAACTCTGACGTTATAATTTGTATCCAGCGCCGAACTAGGTTTTTCGTTATTTTCAAAACAAAGCAAATAGAAAGAACGAAAAATAATAACACATTAATCAAAAATACAACGATGAAAAAAAATAAACGAATTGTGATTAGTAGAGATAGGCGAACGGGACACCGAAATCACCTATTTATCTGTGATTGGTGATAGTCAAGTAAAAAAAAAAGATAAGTTTTCTGCAAATAATGCTATCTGCTGTTTCGAGTTTGTGACACTGTTTTTTTTGTTATAGCACATTGTACGTATTCATTTTTAATCAATGACTTTAATAAATCGAATCCATTAAGTTAACAAGAGTATTCAAAGAGTTATCAACGGTAACGCCGATTAGCTCGACAGATTTGACGTGATCAATTATTTCAGTTGCGGTATTCACGTGCGCTATTATTTTTGAAATTGAAGAGAAGAGAAGAAAAAAAAACCGACAGCAATTTGTGTGTGTTTGATTTTTTTCGCATTCAACAACATTTCGAGTCATGAAATGCAAATAAAATCGTTTTGCTAGCGACAGAGAGACCTTCCATTTGGAAATGTTCTCTTTGCTTGCTGTCAGTCAGTCTTTTGATTGCATTTGCTTTTGAGAATTCAAAATACAATTATACAACGACGACGACAACGACGTCAAATGAAATTCATACATTCCTTATCATTCGTTTATGATCAAGTAGAGTAAACGCAAACACAAGTTGAATGTGAAAGAAGGAAAAAAAAAATGCTTTTGATTGAATAAACTGATTTATTCTTGTCGCTTGGGATCACATGTATCGCAATACCGTGGAATGTAAACACACTTGCACCGTATGAATTAATCATTCATTGAAAACCATTTTTCTCTCGGCTGTCTGTATCGCGTTTTTCACATTGTTGCATACAACGACAACATGTGGAAAAGTATTCGATGATCACAATTGCTTGTTCACTTCGGTTATCGAGATTTATGCTCATGTCGCGTGGAACGCACAAAATGCTGTGTTACGATAACGAGAACATATATTTTTGGAAATGACTGTGTCATCGAAACGATTGTTGAGTACCCTGAGTGCGTAAACAATTAAAGGTACACACCAACACATGCTCAAAAGTTCACAGTTGTGAATGCAATTCGATTGGTTAAGACTGAAAAATTAAATAAGTCAGTGTCCCTCCCTCTCGTTGTCGCTTTCTTTCTGTGTTGAGTCAAATCTTACTTAACTCATGCTGTTGTTGATTTATATATATATATATATATATATATATATATGTTTTTTTTCGCATCTGTCAGGTAATTACTCTGAAGTTTTGCTTGCATTATAATGAGATATATGCCACAGAAAAGGTGATCGTGGGTACAAGAGGAGAATAGCGTGTGTAGCAAGAGAAAAAAGAAATATATATATAAGACAGAAACTATAATTGCAAGTGAAAATCAAAAAAGTTGGTCAAATAAGGTGTGCTTGAACTGATTAAATTGCAAAAGAATGTAATGACACAGACACATTTATATATACACACATCTCGGCATATATCTTAGTGATGTCTTGCAATCAACCAAATTTAATTGGTTTGGCATGTTAATGAATTGTTCTAGCCAGAATTGTTTGCGATTGCTTACATTCCATTCGAATGGCTGTCATCGTCGTTGTGACTGATGTTGACATGATTTGTCCTTATCTTTTTTTTTCTCTCGATCCCTCCCACCTCTTTCGGTCGCGCTTCAATTGGCTTGTAAATAAACCTGAGCACGGTTTTGACCCTAATTTACACCGTAACGCGTTTCTAAAATGGCATTTCATAATTTGGAATATTTCAAGAATTCCAATATATTTACACAAACACTCATAATCTGCGAACACAATCTCTTTCTCTATCTCTCTCAATATCAATGGTGTCTCTTCTCTCGTGTGTTGTTTACCGTTTGTTGAACCACAACCGATCACAAGAATCAGACTATATTTTAGCCCAAATGACACACACGCATACTCAGGCTGTTAAAAATAAATATCGAAGTATGTAGTATATCCGGCATTAACGAGATGTCATATAATAAATGAGTAAGCCGTACACGTATTTTGCTTTCGTTCTTTCATTCTTTCTTTCTTTGTTTTTCCTTCTCTCCTTTAGCAACTCTTCTATTCGGTTGCTATTGTTGTTGTAAATGAAATTAATGTGTAATTTCAAAAATTGTTCGAGTGAACTTGATTGTTTTGAGATGAATGTGTGCAAATGTATGATTTGTTAAATGATTTAATACTCACCACACCTGTCCATAGGCACCTGAACCAACAGGTGTTAGGGTCTGATATCGTTCTGGAACTTCCCATTCGGTTCGATTAATTTCAGCTTTATAAAATTTTGTCATTTTGACATGAAGATATTTCGGTGAACCGCGTATACACGAACTGTCTACACTCGTGCGATTGCGAACGGAGAATGCAAAACCCCGCTGTGTATATGCAATGACTGAAGTATTGACAGTAATGTACTGTTACCAACATTTCTGTCTTAATTCGACGAAAATTCTCCGTTCAAACATGAATTGAAACCACAAAAATGCATTTTGTCATTTTATCTGTTGAAATCTAAATATACCACAATGCAAATACTGAAATTGACTCAATCTATTTGTGGATAAACTGGTTTCTATTTACATTCCATCAAATGTTGGAAATGACATTAAAATTGAAAATAAAGACAAATCAACGATCAATTTTCATATATCATTTCGCAGTTGTGCCAACTGCCAACTGACAAAATTCTGAAATGTCAACAGATATGAACCAAACGATGTGCAATCCTCGTTATAAATTCATCAAGCTACATGAGGCAATATTCTTGTACGATTGTATTCTTCCGTAAGAATATCAACATACTGTTGTGACAGACCATAAGTACATCATTCTAAAATACACTGAACCATTTGTGACCGTTTCAACGGATCGAAACACCTGCTCATTAAAAAACATAATCATATTTGTGTGCATAGAACAGAATTGGTGTTAAAATATTGATCGTGCATGAATCATTTAGCAAAACAATTACACATTGTCAAACCGAAAAAAAAATAACAATTACTCATTGATGATAATTAAGTACACGGCTTGAGTGCGTGACGTTTACAATCTAGGTTTTGATTGAAGTTTAGTTCTGAAATATTTTGGGAAAACAATAGCAACGAAGATCAGATTTGTTGGTGCATTAAAACACAAATAGTTGAAACCGGAATTTTTCAATTTTTCCTACTCTTTTTGTTTCACTCCATGCTCCATGAAATTCGATACAATTTGAATGCGTATAGAACAAAATAAAAGTGCTTGAATCGTGTAAATTTTGAATTTTTGTATACGTAGTAAATAATCGAAATATCGGTGTAAATTAAGCAGATAAAGAAAACAGTGAACAATTTAAGTAGCAGCAAGCAAAAAAAATGTGGTGGCTTCAGAACAAATTGAATTTGATGCACGCACAAAAATGGCATTCATTCAATCACATTCGATCGGTGCCAGTAACTTTAGTTGTGTTAATAACTGTGATGTCAGTGTTATTTGCGTCCGCTCAAATACAATATCCTAAGGAAAGGGTATCCTTGGTGGCAAAGGACAACAACACATTGTTGGATCCCGGATTTTTGCCATTTTTAACGGAATGCAGCAAATCAAATGTTGGAGCTTCAAAAGAACTGTGTACAATGTATTATGATATGGTTTATAATACATATGAGCTCGGTGCAAAGGGACTCGACACAAAAATAGCCATCCAAAAGGCAGACAAAGAGCTTGATAACCAGCAGCTGGTTAAGGAATTTTGTGAAATTTTCCGTAACGAAACCACCAATACGCTGGACAAACAACCATTTTCCCAAACAAATGGCTACAATATAACGGAGTGGATAAAGACGAGTTTAATCTGTGAAGTGAACTGCTTGCAGAAGGGCAAACAACCAAATTTGGTGGAAATCAAGCAAGTTTGCAAATTCATTTCGGGCGGCTGTCGATGGATCGGAGAACAAAAGAAAAAACTATATTTCGCTAGTTTGGTACCACCAAATGCAAACCAAAACCTAGGCGAAGCGGTTAATGACAATGCCGGTGGAAAAGGGGATGCAAACGCAGCCGTGAATAACGAAAATAAAGCACGGCCGATCGCAATTATTAATGCGAATGCTAATGGAAATTCAAGTCCGGCACAAAATACACTCCAAGATCCAGCTCCAAACAATGATGCCATAACGAATGCAAAATCAAGCTCGAATCCAGAACCGAAAAAGCCCAATTCAAAAGCACCCGAAGAGACTCAAATTTCAAAACAAGTAGAAATATCAGTACCAGCCGGTCAACAACCACAGAGACAGCTACCTGCAAAAGTAACACCCTCATTGAATAGAACCAGCCCATCAAATCTAACCACTAACAATAACAAATCAAGCAATATCAACATTGTGGAAACGAAAATTGTGCAGCCACCGCCGCTACCACCAGCAGTCACACCCAAGCAAGCTCGACCTCTGTCTCCGGATAATGAAAGTGAAGATGACTTAGAAGTGAATGACAAAAAGCCTGATATCGACGACGAAAATCCAGAAATTGAAGGTAATGTGTAGAGTGTATGAAAATTCTCGGTTAGTTGGCAAATAATTGCAAATTTTGATCATTCTGTTTCCATTCAATTCGCAGACGAAACAGAAGAGGATAATCACAATGAAGAAGAGGTGCCGCTTGAAATGAATAACAGTAACAATAATATCAATGTGAATAATATGCATAATACGCAAAGCCGTTTGTTGGCCAACCAAGGGGAGTTTCGTGCGGATAAAGAGTCCAGCTTTTTCCCATATTTCATGTTTTTAATGTTTGTTGTAGTCACATTCTATGTTGCTTATCACAATAAGTCCAAAATATTAGCATTACTCATTGAGGGTCGACGTAGTCGAAGCTATTCGTCACGCAGCGGCAGCGGTAGGAGAAAACAACATTCAGCCGAATATCGCAAACTTGATTCAAATCTCGAAGAAGCCATTCAATCAGACGGTGGCCATGTACTGTCCACTCAAATCATTTACTAAAATTGTCCATATAATTGTTGATCAAATGTGATTTTGATTTATGCTACTCTTCTCGCTTCAAGACACAAGTAGAAGAAGAAACAAGCAATGTGAAGAAAAAATAAAGCGAACAAATCAAAGCAATGGATTTGAATTGACACTTCATCGATTA